GAGTGTGCACACAGGGCATTCCTGAGCCATAAGTGAGCAATACTTGTTTGGAGAGACCTAACCATCAGGGCCAAGTGTAAGGTTTTAATTCATTAGGTAAGGGGAGATGTTGGAGGTTTCTGAGCTAAAAGGTGACACTGTCAGAGCTGCTTTGGAAAGAATGCTCTAGCAGCAAGTCTCATAGTTTAATACATTTGTGGCTAAATGTATTACATTATCGCACTCTATAAAGATGACGAGATAAAGCAGTGCAGATGTAATCTTGGAAGCCAGAAGAGAGGTGAAAATCTAGAGCCTTTTCACAACTACACAAGCCAGCGCCGCTTCCTTCTGGTTCCACGTCCATAAACTTGATACACAGAAACAGAAGCATTTCTTTTCCTTTTAATAACCCAACTGGTGCCCCCCAAAATTTTCCACTGGCACATTTTGCCAGGCCCTGTTCCACAGGATGCCCACAGGGCAGCATCTGGATTCTTTAAGTGCCAAGCACCCACTTTGTATAGATGTCAGATTATTAGCTTTCCTCCTCTTCCTGTCCTCTCTCCCCCCTTCCTTCTCCCCCCTTTTCGGCTATCTAAGTCTACATAACACCTATAAGAGAGGTAAAGTGAGGACAGAGAAAGAGAATAAAGCTAAAATCAATCACTTTGAGGTCCTGGAGGATGAATAAAGCTAAAATACCCTATCAATTTAAGAAAATGCAGTGAAACTGAATTTGAAACCCTAACCCTAACCCTCACTTTTTTTTAAACTGAAAATTAAGACCTATTTTGTTTGACAGCATTGTAAGTTTCAAGATTAATGATTTTCTACTCCTTACCTTTAAGTGGTGGTACCTATTGGCAAGAGGGTAAGGGAGCACAGTTGTAACCGATACTGTAAACACTGCAGGTGTTCTCTTAACTGATCTCTGCTGAACTCTACAGATGAACCTATGCTGCCCATTTCTTCTGTAAAGCACCCTGACTGGGGTCCACTGCACACTGGATGTCTGTGACCAACAGACGACTCTCTAACATGCTCACCTACTTCTGCCTCTAGCAGTTATGTGCTTATTAGGAGTCAGTTACGTTTGCTCCTAAACATGTTAATGCCTGTTGTACTTGTTATTGAAACTACGAATTTATTAAATTATATGTAAACCACAGAAATGTGAGAATAAATAGGAAGAGTTCTTTTTATGAAAATTAAGTTGAATGTTTTGGAAAGAGTTAGATAATGGTGATTAGCCATGCCTGTCCAATTAGATGTGAGTGAGATGCTGTAAAGTACTGGGGAGAATTTTTTAAAGTATAGAAAGTTCTTTTTGCAGGTTGCCTCACAAGTGGCCTTGAGTTCCCACTGACAATAAAGAAATTAAAGGTGAACATTACAGATGATGAATTATGAGTGGGAATCTTTTGAAGAAAGATAATCACAACACCAAAGAGTATGCTCATATTCAATGAAAAGGTGTTGGACCAAAATTAAAAGATTGACAAACAAACATACATTTATATGTTTTGTGCTAAAAAATAGAATGGTCAAGATATGTGTACATTTAATTACCCCTTTTAACTCTCTTTTTCGAGTAGTGAATTAAGTACTTGTCCCTTATCCTGACCATGTCAGAGAAGAAGCCTTCCGTGGTAATTATGCAAACTGAAAGGAAGGAAACACAGTTTTGGAAATTCTCTATGAGGAAGACCTTGAACACAGGAACTCCCACCCTGAGCAAAGAGTTCCAGGCCAGCCTGACACAGAAGCTGTCGAACAATCTGCCCTCAAGAGACCGTGAGGGTTTCGGAAGAAAAACATCAGTGATGATCACCACGGACTGAATACTACTGAGGTCCTTTCACACATTTTTCAGGAACCCAGAAAGTCTTCAGATCCTTGTAGGATCCTAGGCAATTCTGGGAGAGATCCCTAAAAGTGCCCAAGTTTGAATTTTTTTGCCAGCCTTGTGAAATGGGAGCTTCAAGTCATAATTTAAGGATCATAAAGTATTTGTTTTTCTTGCTTGAGTGTGCATGTGAATGTGTGTGTGTACACAGAATGCATGGTCTAGAATGAATGGTTACACCATGAGAGCAGGAGCTTTGTCTAATTTAGGGCTAGAAAAGTGCTGCTACTTAGGAGGCATTGAATAAATATTGGTGGAATAAAAGGATGCTATGTCAGTTTGATGAAAAGAAGATGATGAGGCTGACAGAGACTTCTGTGGCCATTCATGAAGGGCACTCTGGGTGAGCCGGAGGGTCAGTAGTACCGAATTTTTACTGTCACATTCTTCTTTAGAAATCACAGCTTTGGTACGTGTGACTCCCAGATACCTTTCTCATTTCATCAACCATTCATCATGGAAAGGAGAGAGAGGGAGATTCATTTTTCTGAAGCAATTGGAAAGGCCCTCAGACTAGGGAGTGAGAAGAGGGGTGAAAAATTAGAAGCCTGCAGATGTGAAATTTCTGAGGAGGAGCTGGACACAGAGCTTAAGAAACAGAGAGGAGCACGGGATGATGTAATTTGATTCTTTCACGTGACAGATGAGGAAACTGAGCCCAGAGAGGAGATGTGACTGGCCCAGGGTCACACATCTGTTTGGTGGTTGAGCTGGGATAAGAACATAGTGATTCTTCCTCTACTGCTCTTTCCATGACACAATTCTGAACACGAGACCCGTGAATGACAAGGAAAAACAGAGCGGACAAGATGAGCCTAAGAGGAGAGATAAAGAAAAAGTAGGATCGTCATCCCGCTGTACTACACCAGTCCTACATCAGATGAGGGGTCAGATAGGACTGATTAGCCATCCCCACTGACCAAGAACAGGTGGACAGTGGGGAGATGAGCATTTCCGGTTTTGTGAATGTATTAGACGTTCCAAGATGACTCTTGGTGAATGAAGGAAATAAACTAATAGAGACTATAATCTATTAGAAATATAGCATCTTTTTTCTAATTCCAGTGCTTCTTAGAGTGCTTGACATAGCTTTTCTACACTCAAGAGTAGGACACAGAGAGTGCTCATCCTGCAGCAAACGGCATCGGCAATGCCTCCAGTCGAGGGTACTCACACCGCGGCTCCATTCAACCTTGGAGGTTTGGGTGGCTTTTGCTGTCATCTCAAGTTAATAAGCCTAGAGAGGGAAATGGAGTCTGTCTCTATTTCAAATTCTGATACTTAGCTCATCATGGATTTTTTTGCATTGGTTTTGATTTTTTAAAGTATTGCATTACAATATTTATCTTGAGTACTGAATTTTTTGGCACCCCCTTAAATTCTACACCCTGCTAACCTCAGCCTCGTCCTAGCCCTGTGTTAGGCTTTAACCTGTTCATAGCCCCCGGAAGGAAAGAGGTTTCTTCTTTCCCTTTCTTTTTCATCTTCTCTCTTGTTCTATTTTGTTGTTGTTTTGATTCACATTCATGTAAATTGGAGCCATAAAAACAAGCCCCTAACAAATGAACTTACCCTGACTGGCAATAGACAGGAGAGGTGTAAATGATCCGAATGTCACAAGACTCAAAGTAAAGAGTTAACTGATTTTTTTGGAGAAAAACAAATGCTAACCAGAAACACAATCACTTATT